TTTCTCACAACAACTTGTAGTACACCAATCTTGCCACACCCCATCATTGGCTAGGACCCCTCCCACCTCACCAGCTCTAGCCAGGACACTCCCAAGATCGCAAATGCCCATCACCAGTTACCAAACTATAAAAAGGGGTGTGCTGCTAGTCAGACTAAAGTGAAAGGGGGAAATCTATTCTAAGGAAAAAACACCAGGTGGTTTGAGAGGTAATACTGCTATCAGAAGAGGGAAAGAGGAGGGAAGGAGGAGGAGGGCAAGGGAGGAGGGGAGGAAGGGAGGAGGGGAGAAAAGGAAAAGCTGAGCATGGTGGCACACACACCTGTAACCCCAGAACTCACCAGGGAAAGAAAGGAAGATGGAGGGTTTGAGGCCAGCCTAGGCTACTGGATTATGGTACATAGTGCTCACAAATGTTTGGAACTGAAAAGGAGACGGACACAACATGAAGGATACTAGTAACTAAATATAGATAAGGAGTTGGGGAGGTGGCTCAGTGGGTAAGAGCACTTGCTACAAGAGTATGCAGGACTCCAGTTCAAATCCCCAGCACCCATGGTTGCACACACACCTACAACTCAAGCTGGTGACTGTGGAGAGACAAAGGACCTGTGGGGCTTTCTGGCCACCAGACTAGCTCCAGGTTCACTGAGAGACCCTGTTTTAAGCTCAGTGGAGAAGTGAGTGTGACTGAGCAGGACACCTGATGTCCTCCTCTGATCTATGTGTGCTTGCACACACACAGAAGTGTGCATATGCTACACACATGTAACACATAAACACACACAATAAATGAGTAAACAGCAACATCTAAAATTGTAAGTGAATTTGCCCCTATTTAAAGCAAGAAGAAATATAATGCTATACCTTGCTCTGTCAATGTACAGAACATTTGTAAGGAACTGTTTTCTCTGGGGCCCATCTGAGGTCCAGGTGCTAGCTCTGATTTGACCTGAATGTCACAGCCTCCGATACCAAATTACTTCCTATTAATCACTCTTTAAGCAGCCCACACTGCACTTGACGTATCACTAGTTCTTGCTGCCCTGTCCCGTCATCCTGGCCTTCCTCTTCCAACAATCCATTGTCTGCCTGTTCCCCAAGCCACAGCCCTTTCAGGAAACCCCTGCCTCCAGGCTCTCCCCTCCTGATCCATTCTTCTGGTGTCCCAGGCAGATGGGCAGTTCTCAAGTCTTATCTATTGGCCTGGTGGAAAATCTCCACACAAACTCCTACCATAAGGAAAGGTGTGAGCTTCCAACTCAAGCAAGTTGAACCCTCTCTGATCTGGGCCACCAAGTCTGCATCTGCCTCTGCTTGTCAGGGTACTTGGCTCTAACCCTGATCTACAAAGGGCTCTACACAAGGGTTCTCTGTGCCCAGTGTTCCAAATCCCTACTCTCAGTGGATGCAGGCAAGAGTCACCCCTCTGCACCATTGCCACATGGACTTCTACTACCAAGTCTTCCATCTTCTCCTGGCTGGAAACTGCCCTATCCTACCCCTCTGCTTTCCCAAATTCAAGTCCTACTCTGTCCAATCTGTAGCCACTAGCCATATCTTGCTACTGTGCATGTGAAATGTGGCTAGTAAGGACAAATATGTGCTCTGACTGTATAATATATACTGGATTTCAAGTACTTCACATGGAAAAAGTGCTGTAAAACTATTCGTTAATCTTTACTATTACCTGATGATATAATACATTAGGTTAAGTAAAATACATTAAAGTTAATTTCACATGCTTCTTTTGTGTCATAAATGTGGTTACAAGAAAATTTTAAATTATATATATGCCTTACATTTTTTTGTTTTTTGAGATAGGATCTTGCTATGTAGAACTGACTGACAGAAAACTTTCTATGCAACTCAGACTGATCTCAAATTAACAATAATCCTCCTGCCTTAACCTCCCAAAGACTGGGATTACTTGTTAGCTCGAGCAATACAGTAATACACAGGAGTTGGGGGCGGGGGGAGTGTTGATTTGTTTGGCTTATTCAGTTACTTTCCCAACGATAATTTAAACAGCATAAAGAGAACTGAAGTCAACTCCTTGTTCATCCCACTGATACATGCACACCATCTAAAACTCAGCCCTACAAGGGCTGATTTAAAACAGTCAGGACTCAGCAAGCCATCTGAAGTACAGGCTATTTTTTATGACAGGAGAGTAAGGCCATTATCAATATCTAATAAAAAGGAAGGGTGGAGAAAATACCTCTTAAAATATGTGTCCTATTAATGGTGGAAGGAAAGTAATAAAGAGGAATCTGGTAAATGCCTGCTCCAAGCCCAAGTCATTACATATTGTACTCACACCCTTACCATACCCATTTAACAGAGTAACAAAGCTGAGGTTCAAGGGTAGGCTAAGTAACAGCCCAAGTTGTGCAGCTACAAGTGACAGTGACAGGCTGCAAACCCAGGTCCTTCCATGTGAAAAAATAGCAGTTCTGTTTCACTGGAAGATACATACACGAAAAGTGGGCATTTAAGTGCATACACAATATGCACTACTAATCAAATTCATTCCCTTCAGCACCCTTCACATTGACTTCATTCCTATCTTCCAGTTCAAGAACACTGTCTTTCTTAAAGGTAGTAACTAGATAAGATATTTGATGCTGTGGGGATTAATACTTTAATGCACTAGTTTTCTTTAAAGTCTCCTAATTACAGCTGTAAAGCAAAAGTTTATACTAAATATTATGGCTAGAACTCCTCAAATTTTATTTTCTTAAAAAATAGAGCCCCTATAGTTAATGATCACAGTAATACATGAAGGAAACTTGGCCATCATCAACAACAAAAGTATTCCTAATGAAATATCAAAGAACTCTGTTACAAGCGGTATTTTAAACACAGATTTTATCTTTGAGTGATAATAAAGCTGTTATTTTTTTTTCCACATGCACATGATTCAGGCTGCAGACATGGCTCAGAGGTTAAGAGCACCTGCTGCTTTTGTACTGAATTTAGTTCCCAGTACTCACCTCAGGGGCAATTCACAATCACGTGTAACTCCAGCCCCAGGGGAACTATCTACTGGCCTCCGTGGTTACTGTACTCACTAAAACAAACCCACCACACACACACACACACACACACACACACACACACACACACACACACACACACATTTTTTTTTTAAAATCATAAAGAGTCGCCATTGACCGGGTTCACTGCCTATCCCTGCTACTTGCAGTTGAAATGAAACACACACCTTAGAGGAGAAATTAGGGACACTCAGACTCAAAAAGTATCCACTTTCTCAGAATCGTAACAAGGGCAGCATATCGCTAAGAAACTAGTCTGATCTAGGTTTCCTGACTTTATAAAATGTAGCCAACTTAATCTTGGGCTTCTAAGTCAGAACAAAGGCTTAAATTCTTTAGCACAGAAAAGGTTCCAAAGTATCAAGTGCTTTAAAATACTGTTCAATCCACCTTTATCAAAACCGCCCCTCCAGCATGAGTTAATCAGATGCTAAGGAGCCAACACAAAGCACTTGTGTGCCTGGGCATTTCACTACAAGAAGGAGAAAGTTCAACTTACCAAGAACACCACATTTTGCTTTCCAGAGTTCAGAAACTAATCCTTCCAACAATAGCTGATTTACATTCACCATAAATTCAACACATGAAGTAGAATCTCCAGGAATCTGAGATGGTAAGCAACTTCATTTGGTAAAATCTGGTGGGTTTTTTTTGGGGGGGGGGTAGTTTTTGTGGTGGTAGTAGTCATAGTTTTAAGTTTTAGATTTCTGTTGGTTCATTGGTTGGCTGGTTGACTGGCCTGTCTCCTACCCAGAGATAGTTTACATAATATAAATAGAAATAATTAGCAACTCTTAATCTCATTAACAAGATGCTTAAAATTCTCACCTACAAAGTGAATTCTTTAAGCTCTATTTTCTCAAGTCACAGATGCTCTAAAACTGGGTTTTAAATTTTATTATTATTGTTGCTGTTGTGGAAGTACACGTCAAATACTTATGCACATGTCAAATACATGTGGAAGAACATGTCTTTTCCTTGGCCCAAAAACACAGACAAGTCTGTCCATAGACCAGCAAAGATGTTTCTAGCTTGAACAAAAGTTAAGACAGACAGAACTAGAACCACGTAATACATAGTCTAGTCAAGCTACACATCACCCATCACCGGCAGCAAGAAACCTTGTGGACACTTCACACCCACAAGGGTGAGCTTTCAAGTCTTTACAGGTCAATTCCAGGTCCACTAACCCTCCAGGCCATAAAAAGGGAAGGCGGCAGGGAGTAATGGTTGTCATTCTGGTTATAAAGGAGAAGCAGCCTCCCTAAGCCCAAGAAAGGCTGGGTTTCTCTGAGCAAAGCCCCCTTCACACCAAGAACTCTATCAGCCAGACTCTCCCCAGCCCCCCAAAAAATTAAATTTAAAAGGGAGGACAGGAGAGAAGAAATGACATCTAAAACTGTCCTGGGATCACTTGGAATCAGTCTATCTGAAATCTCACACCCAAATATAATAATAACATTTTAAAAGGAGACTGGGTGAGAGAGATGGCAGTTCAGCTAAGTCTGTGATGGGACGGACTACTTGAGGTCTTGGTCTAGCCCAAGTTGTCAAAATTTTAAATTTTAAAAATGGGAAGGGGAAATTGCAGAGGTGTGTGTGTGTGTTCTTGCCCGCTCCATTTGTGCTGGGTTTATTTCCTGGAGAGGACAGGGTATAGTTACCTCTGTGCCTGGCCTCGAGGTTACCCGAGGCTAGGCGCCCAAATGAGAATCTTGGCTAAGTTTACACTTGGGGAGACAGGGCAGCGCCCAGGGCTAGCCTACCGCCTTCAGGAACAATGCCTCAAGTGTCCCGATCTGGGCTAGCAGGGGTCCTGTGCGCACCATCGCCAGCCCCCTGCATCACTCGGACCTGAGAGCCCGCCAGGCCCACGCCACGGGTGGGACCCGATCCTCCGGCAGGTGGCCCTGACCACACAGCCCACGCCCCGCGCCTCACCCAGCAGCGCCCGCAGGTGCTTCAGGCGGGTCAGCACGTCCTTCTTGGGGTCCAGCACCTTCTGCGTGGACTTCTTCACATCCCCGTGGCTCCTTCGGGAGAACATCCCGCCGCGGGAATCCCGGGCCCCGCCGGCGGGGCAGGAGGCGCCTGCGCCGCACGAGTCACTGCATAGGGTCGCGGCGGGCGCGTGTCGCTCCGGCCACTAGCCGCCCCCCTCCCGGCCGCCGCGCCGGCTCTGCTTCAGCGGAGGCTCCAGGAAGGAGGGGCGGGCCGAACGACCAGGGGCGGGGCAGGAAGGCGGTGTCGACGCAAAAGCCTCGGCCCCGCCCCACGGGAGCCTCCGGTCCGCCCCTCCGGCACGACGCACGCTCGCATCCCAGTCTCTCCACACAAGCGCCCGGCGCTGAGACCGCGCGGGGACGCGCGCCCAGTTCCGAGTTTGCGCTGTGACTTCCAATCAGATTGCGGTGTCTTCCACACGGCTACGAGCGCGAGGTCCCGCCCTTCTGTGGGCCGCAAGTGCTCCCGGGAAATGTAGTCCCCAGAAGACCAGGCAGTGCGACCTCTTTTTCCAGAGTCCTGGAGGTGCTAGACCCTGCCCTTGAAAGCCTCTGACTCTCTTCCCTCTACTGTATCGCCTGCTCACCCACCTCATTTCCTCTATCCTTCTCTCTCTCCTCTCTCTCAAAACAAGACAAAAACAGTAAGAAAAAGTTGTAGGACTTAGAAAATTTGAACTATTTCTAGGTTCCTGGATTCACAGTAAGGAGGAACACAAAGTCCTTGTGGCCGTATCAAAATTGGATCTCTCATTTCACACTAAAATAAATGGCTTTGGCAGCAGAAAAGGGTGCTCTGGAGCCCAGTGAGGAGTCCAGCCAGTCCCCAAGGCACCTGGAACCCAACCTCAAGCGCGAGGTCTGGAGGTCAGTCTTGCCTCTTGCTTTGTGGAAAGTACATGCTCCTGTGTTGTGCAAGGTCACATAGCAGTCCACTGACAGACCCAGAAATAGAACCTGAGGGACCTGACTCTGGAACCAAGATGCTTTTTAATGCCAGACGCCTGTCCCCTGAAGTGAGACTTCAAGGCAGAAGATGCTCAAAAGGTTTCTTACATGAGAACTGACTTTAGAATTATTAGCACCTGAATCCCCCAAGGTTTGACATTTCAGTTTTATTAGCAAGTACTTAAGGTGACAGCTTAGTCACATGCTTTCCATCCAAATAGGGACAACTCAAGTGCCTTTTTCTCTAGTTGAGGGAAGGGCCAGGAATTTATACATCATTGTATTTAGCTCTGTAGTTGATCTCTACAGGCACTCAGTAAACACATAAAATAAAATGATAAAGCAGTCCTACACATTTCAACTCAGCATGCAAAAACATCTCAGTTCTTGTAAGTTCTATTTTTAAAGTTATCAAAATAGCATGACTACAACTAAGACATACCCAAAGAAATGTTATTCAGACAAAAAAAAAAAAAAAAAAAAGCGCCTACTGACAAAGCCAACAGCATAAACCTCCCAGACCCAGAGATTGAATCTCCATGCTAAGGATGATGGCAGAGCCGTGGCACCTCCTGCATCCCCAGATGACATCATAAATCAAGGCCACAGCCTTCCCAAAACTGTTATAAAGGAGAGAAGTGATGTTATATTTAAAGTCAAGGCAAGAGTGTTACCATCAGCTTATCCTGTGCTCAATTGCAGACAATAAAACACGGTGTTCACTGTTCCATTCCTTTGAGCAAGGACACCTTTTCTTATACTGACTGAAAAAATAAAATGCATTTATCTCACAGAATTCAATTTTTCTCTTGCAATGTGAGCTCTCGTTATCATCAAACATCTACTGAGAATATGTGATGTAAAAGCATAATCCGATAGCCAGGGAATATAGGATGTATAAGAAGCAGCTCCCTGACTGCCAGAACTTCCAATCCAACTGAGAAGGAGAAACTAGACAAATGTATGTATTTCTGTATGCTAAATATATGGCTCTGTTACAAACTTGGTAGATAATAGCCAGGCATCAATGCATATAAGTTCATGTCATCTATCCTACTTACTAAGAACATAAAACTGCAACCCCTTTTTTTCCTTTGGAATTTTCATTGAAAAATCATTGCTTTGCTGGTCTTCCCTCTTAACTATCATGTCGTGATTCTTACACAGTCCTAATCAAGCTCTCCCATTCTCTCTATTGGAGATATGCCTTAAACTATGCTTAGAATTCTCAATGAATTTCCCATTTTTGCCCTTTAACCCTGAAATGACACAGAACCCTATGGTCTTCTCAGCAGCATCAACAGATTGTTTGGTTTTATGTCAAGGATTCCATATTCTTTTTTTCTTTCTTTTTATTTATTCTATGTGTCTTTTATATCACATATCTTGATCCCTTTAATTTCCTCATCCTTCCCATCTTCCCTCCACTCCTGCATCACTCCCCCCACAAAATAAAACAAAATTTAAGAGAAAAAGGGAAAATTTTTTAAATCTTGTCATGGAAACTAATGTGACACAGTGAGTCACACAGTAAACCCCTTTGTCCATGTATCTTTACTTGCAAGTGTTCATGACAAAGAGTCATCGGTCTGGTTTGAGGTCTCTGGTTTCTGCTACACTATCAATGCTGGGCCCTCACTAGGGCTCTCCTTGGTTATCCTGTTTTTGCCCTGTGTTGTGGAGATCCTGCAAGTTTGGGTCTTTGGGTCATGTCCCTTCACATGCTCCAGCAGGTCATAGATGGGATGGATATTGGAGCAGGCCAAGTCATAACCCTGGTTGTGGGCCTGAGCAACTGCCGGGTTGGTCAGCCTGACAATTGTCCCCTGTCCTCACCACCAGGGTGAGCTCTCCCTCGTTGCCCCTACGAATTCATCTCTTGCAGCAATGAATTAGGGGTGGGGAAAGTTCTGCTTTCATGCCCTTGGGGTTGGCTCTCCCGTACCTACAACAGGGCGACCTCGATTGTGCTGCCCTGGCAAGGCACAGGGGCCACTGTCTTGAGTGCGGCAGCTAGTGAGATGTAGGGACAGTCCTCGTGCTCTTGTGACCCCAGGGCCAGTTCCTCCACCTGTCTCAGGCATTGATGAGGGTAGCAGGGTGGGTGGGACCACGTATCAGATGAGTAATGGGGACAGCTCTCCCTTGCTCACATCAGGGCTGGGTCACCCTCACCTCGCCACCAGACAGCTCTGCTGTGCTGCCTAGGCGAGGGGCGGGGCCTGCTTTCCTGCTTTCACAATGGGGAGGGGCAGCTCTCTCATCTATTGCAGGCAGTAAGGGGTGAGAGGTAAGGGCGGGGCGCATCTCCCCCCCCCCCCCCACACACACACACACACTGCTGCATAACAGATGAGTAGTGGGGACAGGTTTCCCTGGCTTACAACTGGCTGGCTTACCCACAACTCCGCCAACAGGGTTGGCTCTTTTGTGCAGCCCTGATGAGGTGCAGGACCTGCCCTCCCAAGTGTTGCAGCCGGTGGGGACAGGGAAAGTTCTCCCATTCTTATGACCACAGGGCCAGCTCTTCCCTCTGCCTCAGGTGTTGATGGGCAGGGGAGGGCATTTCTCTCCAGTCCATGCCACCATATGGCAGATGAACTCCCCTCTTTTTTTTGTTTTATGAATCACATATTGGCGTTTTGATGCTTGTCTACTTTCAAGTATGTTGCTAATGACAATTCCCATTTTGTTGTTGGTCTCTCGAAAAAATCCTCTTGTTGGACTGCGAACCCTTTAAAACTTGGGGCTGGAGAAATGCCTCAGAGGTTAGGAGTATTGGCTGCTCTACCAGAGAACCCAGGTTCAATTCCCAGCACCCACATGGTGGCTCACAACCATCTGTACCTCTAGTCCCAGGGATTTGATGTCCTCTTCTGGCTTCTGAGGACATTGCATGCACATAGTGCACTGATATACATGCAGGCAAAATACCCATACACATAAAATAAAAATAATAAGTAAATAAATAACTCAGGGGAGCAGAGAGTTGGCTCAGTAGTAAAGAGCACTTGCTGTTCTTCCAGAGGATCCAAGTTCTGTTCTCAGCACCCATGTGAGTGATTCAAAAATCACCTGAAACTACAGCTCCTGGGCGTCTGACATTCTCTTCTGACCTCTGCAGGCACTAGCACTTACATAGCAAAGACTCACACAGACACAAAATATACATTTAAAAATTTAAATCTAAAGAAAACTAAGCTTGTAACTTGAAATACAAAGTAAAGCTACTCTGAAATAACATTTTTAAAAAAAGAGTGTGGATGTTACCAGTAGTTAGAGGTGCTGTCTGCATTGGGTGTTTCTAGGCTCTTGGCCTCTTACTCAAAAAATGAAATAAAAGTCCACACAAATTCCAAAGTAGCAAGGGAACTTTATTGAAAGTAAAGAAATAGAAAAAGATAAGAATGTATGGTAGAGGAGCAGGCAGCATGGGTGAAATATTCTGGGGTTCCAATTACTGCATCCTTTTATGGGGTTCAAGAGAAGGAGTAATTTAGTTACTAAAGGGTACTTGCTGTGGGATGGTCTTTCTGAACGCTGTGAATATGTGTTGCTACTATTGGTTAATAAAGAAGCTGTTCTGACCTATGGTAAGGCAGGATAAGAGCCAAGTGGGAAATTAAGGGAGATACAGGGAGAAAAGGGCAGAGTCAGGGAAGACGCCATCCAGCTGCCCAAGGAACAAGATGCCAGAAGACTGGTAACGCCATGGTCATGTGGCAATACATAGATTAATAGAAATGGGTTAATTTAAGATGAAAGAGCTAGCTAGCAAGAAGCCTGAGCCATAGACCAAACAGTTTGTAATTGATATAAGCCTCAGTGTGTTTATTTGGGTCCAAGCAGCTGTGGGACACAGGAAAACTTCCAGCTACAGGTTTCTATCTTGGGTAATAGATATGAATTATGTAAGTTTTGCTTTATAATACATCTTATTTTAGTCATATGCATGCCCAATTATGCATAGGCATAAGATGGTAAATAGAAAAGCCATTTGAACACTCAGTTTTGTCATATTGAGCATGTATCCCAAACTTGTGTGGGCTGGATCAGTCTTTCCATTCTGGTTGAATTGAACTTCAGTCTAAGTTTGTTGGTCATTAAAGAGAGGAAAAATGTATTCCATTGTCCAGAGAGGGGTGTGCACGCAGCTAAATGCAGGTGGGAGGATCCTCGGTTACTAGCAGATTGCTAGGTGCATTGTTAGAAGTGAAGTGTGTGTGCACTGTACATGGAGGTAACAGTCTCAGACTGCCAAATGCATTGTTATTAGAATAGTACTGTGTACAAAACCTAAACCAATTAAAGTCCAACACTACTAAACTAATTTCTGTGTTTGCCTG